TAATTATCCACATTTCTTTACTTATATTATCCATTTAAATCTTATCAATTGTGTAAAAACTGATTAAAATGGTCTAACTAATTATGTTTTAGAAATTTGGGGGTATCATAGGATTAAGATATTTAATAAAACACATTTTGTGATTAAAGTCTCAGAAGAATCCCTTAAGTGTTAAGACCTACTTCCCTAACCCCTGTAATGCACAGTTCATTCTAAAACAGTGGTAAATCACTGAAGTGAACATTTTCTTCATAACTCTACAGCAAGAGAGCATAAAAAGTATTCTAACTCTATGCCATGAAATTAAAACAACAGACCATAATGGGCGGGGGGCAAATTACAAGTTTATCTTACTCTTGTAAAGTATTTTTTTAAAGCAACATTTATAAAGAAAGCAATAAATATTAAATCTTTCAAACACCTACAATGATTAAAGAATTCTTTTCACTCATGCCAGCAACTCTCCAACATCATAAAATTTCTGTTCAGTTTGAACAAAGATACTCGAGAGAAGTTAAATAGGGTTAGGTCACACAAGATGAAAGTTTGAAAAGCAAATGGAAAACAATCAGGTAAACAGTTTTCAAAAATCTCAGATGTCCTGATGTTGAAAACATCTGGGGTGTATACACTACAACACTGACACTCCAAATGTGGTCCATGGGTCAGCAGTGTTAGCATCACTTGGGAGCTTGCTGGAACAGAACTTCAGGCTCCAACCCAGATGAATCTGCTTTTTAAACAAGATCTTTAGGTAGTTCACATGCACACTGAAGTTTTAGAAACACTACCATCATCATGGGGAAATATTCTGAAAACATAAGGCTAATGTGATATGATTTTTATACAGCCATCATAGCAAATCTTTCAACTAGAGGCTCTAGAACAGGGTTATAGTTTATTCTTTTCTGCACCCTCAGCATCTAGTATAATTCCTGGCTCATATTTGGCCTAGTGAAGATAAATGTATAAATGATGTTATAATAAAAATAGAGCAGTCATGTCAGTGAGGCTACATTACCTGTTGACAAGGGTTAAGACAGTTGGCTTAATGGGCAAGTACAAGGACATTCAATAGGGATAAATGAAAAGTAAAGCAAGGCAAGTGAAAATATTAGACTTTTGCTCAAACACATAATAGGGAAAATTTGTCAAGTGTTTAATTAGGAAAGAAGCACACAGCAAAGGTTTTGAATGTCAAAATGCATAACCTGTTGATTTGATAACTATGTTGTTTCAGGATTGGCTGGCCATGCTGGAAAGACTGAAGATGTAACTATAGGATTGGGGCTTTTAGCTATGTAATATCAACACAACTTCCAGAGAAAAAGGGAAACTGAAGATTAAGTTCAGTCACATGGTCAGTGATTTAATCAATCCTATGGGCCTCATGATGCAACTCTAATAAAAATTCTACATACAGAGACTTGGAGAGATTCCCTGGTTTGTGATACACATGGATGTTCCAGGAAGGTCGTACATTCTGAGGACATGAAAACTTAACGTTTGCAACTATCTGCATAAGAGCAAATGTGATTTTTGTAATACATAAATATTATCAGTATGCTAAGCCACATCATTGCCAGACTATACTGGTCAAATTTTTCTAAAATTCTATGCTTATTGAACAAGGAAAAATCTAGAACGTAACGTGGACTCAGAATCTAGAATTTGAAGTTGATTTAAGGCAAAACTAAGAGCATAACATTTCAGAGAATACTGATTGCTATTTTGTTGTGTTTTTTTTTTTTGAGTGGAATCTCACTCTGTCACCCAGACTGGAGTGCAGTGGCCGCTCCCGGCCACTGCAGCCTCAACCTGCTGGGCTCTGGCGATCCTTCCGCCTCAGCCTTCCAAGCAGCTGGAACTACAGGCGCACGCTACCACGCCCGGCTCATTTTTGATTTATTGTAGAAATGAGGTCTCGCCAAGTTGCCCAGGCAGGTCACGAACCCACGGGCTCAGGCAATCCACTCACCTCAGCCTCCCAAAGGCGCAGGATTACAGGCTGAGCCAGTGGCTGATTGCTATTTACTAATAATCGTTAACAAGCATAAAGCTTGGAGTACAATTCTGATCCTAATACCCAGTTAGGTTAAATGTCACAGGTAAAGGACACAGTCTCCACAAGACTGCCCTCACTTCAAATACCAGTTGCAAGCCTAGGGTTCCCATGCCACTCACACTTCTGACCAATGGGTTACACATTCAGGGGTTCTCATTATCCTCTCAGGTTCAACAATTCATGAGAACGACTTACATAACTCACAAAAGCACTGCATTTTCTATTTCAGTTTTATTACAAAGCATACAAATCAGGACCAGCCAAAAGAAGAGACCCATAGGGTGGGGTCTGGAAGGCTTGCAAACACTAAGCTTCCATGTCCTCAGGACACGTCATCCTCCTGGCACATCGGTGTGCATCACAAAGCAGAGGAGCCCTCCAAGCCTCTGTGTACAGTGTTTTTATTGGAGTTTTACTATGCAGCCCATAGGATTCATTGATTAAATCACTGACCACCTGACTGAACTTAATCTTCAGCTTCTCTTTTTTCCCTGGAGGTTGCGTTGATGTTACACAATACGATCACACTAATACTATCACACTGGGGGATAGAATTTCAGCATACTAATTTTGGGGGACACAAACATTCAGATCACAGCACACATTATGTTAATTTGGGTTATTGCTGGCACTTAAATGTTCATAGTGGGGTATGATGGTCGGAAAATATGCTTTGGAGTTTGACAGAACTGAATTTGAAACCCAGTCCTATCTAATATTAGTGAGATTTTTGAGTGAATAAGTCCTTAATCTGGTCTTCAACCTTGATACTTTTAGAAATGTGAACATAAATTACCATATCTACTTAGAGAGGCAACACAGAGCCATGGACCAGAGTCTGGAACCAGACCACTTGACAGATAGCTCTGGCAATCTTTTTTATTTTTATTTATTTTTTGAGTCAGAGTCTCACTCCGTTGCCCAGGCTGGAGTGCAGTGGCATGCTTACGGCACCCCAGCGTTGACTTGCTGGGCTTAGGCGATCCTTCCGCCTCAGCCTTCCAAGTAGCCAAAACTTCAGGCGTGCACTACCATGCCTGGCTGATTTATTTATTTATTTATTGTAGAGACGAAGTCTCACCAAGTTGCCAGGCTGGTCTCGAACTCCTGGGCTCAGGCAATCCTCTTGCCTCGGCCTCCCAAAGTGCTGGGAAGCTCTGGCATTTTTTAGCTATATGAGATGAGTGTCTAATAATCCCTCTGTTCATAACTTCTTCATCTGTAAAATGAGGATAATACTTAACATCAGCTCTGCTGTGAGGATTAAATAAATTACTGCATATAAAGCACCTGTAAGAGGTGCTGGGCATCTAATAAGCACTTAAATATCAGCAACTGCAATTATTATTTTCAATTCCCTTATTTTTACTTTTTCAATTGTTGAGATAATATAAGATTCAGAAAGATCATATTATAAAATCTGGCCCAAATGTTGATTTCCTTTACTTTAGAAGCTATTCTCTATTTCAGACTATTAATAACAAACAAGTGAGGTGAAGTTTACCTCCATCTAATGGCAGGTGACAAAAAAAAACGGAATATAAAGGGTAAACAGTGACTTTTAAGTAGTGCTAAACTGTTTAAAATTGAGGAGTAGGATAATATTGGTAAGAGGAAAAATATTAGAACAGTGCAGAGGTAAAATAATGCTTTGATAAAAAAATTATATTTTGTCAAGGATTTGGGAAAATTGACTTAAGTTTTTCATTTTCTTATTTCTTTTTTAAGCACAAGACCTTACTGTCTTAAAAGTTTAAGGCAGCATAATGAAGTACAAATTAAGATTCCCTTCCATCTCAAGATATGAAAACTTAAAATGATTACCACTGGGGGTGGGGGGTAGGAACCCAACTGTAACAAATAAGCAAATAAAAACCAGTCAAAATTCCTCATACCGGACCCTTCTATCATCCCAGTCTCTGCTGCACCCACATATGTACACATAGGCTAAAGAAACCATCAGGATACAATAGAATTTTAAGAATAAGATGAAATATTCCAAGTATATACTCCCCAAAATATAAATGGTATCACCAATGGCACAGATACTAAGTTTTTTAACCAATATTATGCATATTGAAAATGAAGATTAGTAGGATATTTTTTAATACAGTGAAAGTAATTCCAAAAATCACTGCTAAAAAGAAGTGCCAAGATCTTTGAGTTTAGATGCAAAACTATGCAGGAAGTATTGCTATGGTTTGAATGTTTGTGTCCCTGGGAATATTGAAATCCAAATTCCAAAGGTGATTGTATTAGGTGGTGGGGCCATTTGGGAGGCAATAAGGTCATAAGGAAAAAAGTTCTCAAAAATGGGATCAGCACCAAAGGGAGCTCATTTGCCTTTTTCACCAAATGAGGACACAGTGAAAAGGTGACATGTATATACCAGCAAGTGGCTCTCAACAGACAGCAAATCTGCCAGAACCTTATCTTGGGTCCTGTCAGCATCTGGACTGTAAATAAATACATTTCTATTGTTTAAAGCTACCCAGTTTATAGTATTTTATTGCAGCAGTCTGAGTGGACTGAGAGAAAACATTGTCCTTGTTTGTTAACTCTTCTTGTGTTTCTTAAATTTATCTTACTTCATCTTCAAATTTCCAAATTAAATTTCACTTTTATGGGAAAAATCAGGATAATTTTATAATAATTTTAAGGCATCAATTACTTTTTCTTGAATTAAAAAACCCAAATCATTAATCCTTTGTACTTTGGTGAACCACAGCAAATTTTTCTTGTGATACACACAATAGTATGCAGAATGTTGACTGATTTTACTATCTTGCTTATATTGTACATAAAACTTAAAGCATGTTTTCTCTAAAAAACACTTTTAAATTATGGGAGAAAAGTTCGAGTTGTAAAGTTTATAGTAAACCTTACTCCAACCTTCACTTCTCGCTTTATAACAAATTCTATTAACACATCTTTAAAAAAAAATCAAGGAATAATTTTATTTACAATGAATGTTATTCTCTCCAGACTAACTCATCAGTTTACTCTTACAACAGAGAATCAATTTAAATAACACCACCAAAATGGAATTAAGATAAAGCAACCTGCTATTAAATATCAATTTCTTTGATATGCTATAATGCATAATAATATCCAATTAGTCTTGAAACATGGTCCATTTCCAGTGAAATTCTCAGTAAACTGCTAGAAATTATGGCCTTTCATATTGACATTTTATTGCAAGGTGTGCTAGATGCGGCTTTCTTGATTGCTTCAAACTCAAACAAGTGTTCAGAAGTAAAGGCTGACACCACAAAACTGCTTCATATGTAATCCATCCACAAACAGGTAGCAATGCCTCCAACGCCTTTGGTTTTCACAACAATCCCTTTGGAAAGTTAATTGACAATTGTTCCCTTAATGTTCTGTGTTATGCAGGACAAATCACTGCCTACACAGTTTGTGCCAATGTCCTTGACTTCCTTGCTCCCACTGATTTGTTTATCAGATCATACAGTGATGACAGTTTTATTTTATCCATATTTTTGCTGTAAACATTGAGAAATATACCGAGGACAACTAGCAAACCAGACCACACATACCTAAGAGAAGGAAATAAGGAAAAAAGAATATTAAAGTTAACAAGGTAATAATTTATTGTTAACCATAGAATTTGGTAATTTGTTCAAAATAATTCTTCAATAAAATAAAATTTTGCTACTAGAGCCTTATATTAACAGTATTAAAATAAAAATTGTCTTCTTAGATCAGACAGGATTCCACATATTTTATGATGAATATGTATGTGTATGTATATATAACAGAAAATTATACAAAAATGTAGTTCACTTGAACTTTGGGGATAATAGCATATTCAAAGTACAAATCCTACCAAAGTCTTAAGAATAAGACACTGGTTATGCAAATCTATCAAAGGCCATCTTGGGAATTAAACTTAACAGTCAACTAGTTGTCCCAGTTGCATAGTCTACAAAGGAATTAAAAGGGATATATCCCTGAGAAAATAGGGTAATAATCATAATTACTATCATATATGCCTAGCACCTGCAGAAGGAAAATATAATTTGGAGACAAATAGTAATCTGTAACAAAGGTGGAAATTAATTTTATGGTTACCTTTAAACTTATATACTGCTAAGTTTTAGATCTGAGGGCCAGGAACGATGGCTCATGCCTGTAATTCTAGCACTTTGGGAGGCCGAGGCGGGAGGATCGCTTGAGCCCAAGAGTTCGAGATCAGCCTGGGCAACATAGTGAGACCTTGTCTCTACAAAAAAAATTAAAAAACTAGCTGCGCAATGCAGTGTGAGCCTGTAGTCCCAGCTACACAGGAGGCTGAGGTGGAAGGACTGCCTGAGCCCAGGAGATCAAGGCTATGGTAACGCATGATTGTGCTGCTGTGCACTACAGCCTGGGCGATAGAGTGAGACCCTGACTCAAAAATATAAAAAGTTAAAAAATGGTTTATAAAAAAGTTTTAGATTTGAAATTTACACTTACTGACCAACATAAGCTTAACTGATGTTCAAACATAGTAGACAGTAAAGATAATGGTAAAAGCTTTAGGAGAAAACCACAAACTTAATAACTCTTTCAAATACAACTTACAATATCTACACCTCAATTCCTTTGTGGAAAAAGACAACAAATAAATTGATACTTTATAAAAATACAATTTACATTATTTGCACTAGGGCAAGGTGAAATTCCTAAATCTCAACAGTATACATATAACTCACATTCACTCATATTGAACATACATATCACCCATATTAATTCATACTGGAAAAGGGTCACTTTTGCACTGGGCTCTGGTTAGGCAATTTAAATATATAAAGCTATAAGTTCAAAACAATAAGGTATAAACATTTCTGAAAGAGTAGAACACATGTCAATAGTTATGAGATCAAGATAAGGTTTCTTTATAGGCATAACAGGATAATAAATGCATATTACTTTATATAAAAATTAATATATTTGCTACGAAAGTTAAAAAGTTGAAAGTCTAAGAGGAAATGTGAAACAGTATCTAAAAACTGAGAAATTTCTTTATTTTATACTTACTGAAATGTGAATGGTTTAGCAAAGAATATAAATGAAAGTACAATGGTCATTGCTTTTCTCCCTGTTGTCACTGCAGGGGCAAAAAAGGTTGGTTTAGAATGTATCTACTATCTTGGTAATATTTTGGAAATAATTTATTCAACAAATATTTACAGAGCTGACTATATACCAGAATTTATGTGAGGTGCTAAGAAAACAAGAGGAAGTAAAAACCAATCAACCAACAAAAGTCACTGTTCCAGTTACTATGAAGTTTACAGTCTTGTAGGAAAAAAGACATTGAATAATTAATACATGTAAATGTTAAAGTACAGCCATAATAAATACTCCACGGTGGCCATGGTACTACAGAGTCACAGTAAGTCTTAGAGAGACTTGCTACGTCTATGTCCCTAAGACTTAGAACATCTTAGAAAGACATACTTGGCAGAAAAGAAAGGCTTTTCTAAGGATGATATGATTCAGCAGAGACAGGGGTTATTCTTTGACAGTAGTAACCTAAAGAATATACTAATATCTCAGTAGTGGACATCTCTGGATATGAGAAATTTTTACAATCCTCTTTACACATCTGTATTAACTTTTCCCTGTCCTTGTTTAAGGTATTATACTTTGAAGTCTGCTGTATGGCCTGAAATCTTCCTCCCTTATCCCAGCCAGAGGTAGGAACTTGAAACGAATTGCTGTGACAGCCTTTTCCCCGCATTGCACTGTCAGTTGTTGTATTGCCACTATACTGTACGTCATATTTTGTTCCTTGTCTTATTGATCCTTATGTTCTGAGACTATATAATTCCTGGCAGTTAATATTCTATGTATGAATGAATGAATACCAAATGAAACTGTTCTAGAAATATGTGCCAGAGCCAGATGCTCAATATGTTTTTCCTTCTATAGTAAAAAGAGCCCTACTTTTAGCCAGGCATATGGTCCTGCCTCTTCCATTCAGCAAGGTGTGGTCATGAGACTAGGCTGTGGCCACTGAAATGTGAGAAGTGCTATTTCTAGGAGTGTGATTTTTTTAAAGGAAATTTCTATAAAAAGAAATGTGATGTGTCTTTCATTTTATCTCACTCCATCCTCGCATGAGGATGAAGACAACACAGCAGTCAGACGGAGGTGGGTTTCTGAACCACAGAGTGGTAGCAGCATGGCATGTGGTGAAGAGCACAGGTGTGCGGCCAGATTGCCATGGGCCATAGCTAGAATCTGACTCTGGTTGACTATGAGACAAGTCACTTAGCCTCCTTTTGCCTCACTTTATCCATCTGCACAACAGAACAACAATGCCTCACTTTATCCATCTGCAAAACAGAACAACAATAGTGCTCACTTTTAAAATATCCAGGATGGCATGTGGCACACACCAGGGCTATGTATGTTTTAGCTATTATTATTACTGCTTCTGGCTTTCTTTTATGTGAAAGACAAAACATTCTGCCTGCACCGTCAAGACAGGGGCTGTACGTTCATTTTAGCAAATGACACGGATAGCACATCAGGCCATCTGTTCCCTTCACCAGCTACATACTCCTCTAAAGCAGAAGAAATATGACTTTCTTTCCTCTAAAGTGCCAAACGAAGTCCCTGCACAAAGCAGGTGTGTCATCATTATTGGTGAAAAGAGAAGCTTATCTAGTTGTTGCCCTAGAAAATGCACAAACAAAAGGCTCAAAAAGCTTTATTTAAAGTGCATCTGTCACTTTAAATACTTTCATGAACAAAACTGAAGTTTTTAATTATATGTTAAAAGTACATAAAGGAAGAATTCCTTTGGAAGGTCTTCATCCCATCATACTCTTATGGCAAGTTCTTTTAATGCATTTAAAGTTACTATTTAGATAAGTATATAAATTTTATTTTCAAATTAAACCTTCAAAATAAGAAATTAGGATCAAATTTTTAAAAAAATTATAAAGAAATATAAACCAAAGAATAAATTGGCAAAATACGACAATTTTCTTCTTAATGAAAAGATATTGCCCAATTTTTTTTAAAAAAGAACATCAGAGAAAATGTAAATGCTTATTTCATAATCTAAGCAAGTAAATCTCTCTTACCTGTTACAGCAAGAAGTGCACCAAAAATTTTAATCAAAGCCAGAACAAAGGAGATTCCAAAATATCCAGTGAGAGAAAATAGGAAAGCATAACCATAGGTCCGAATTGGATTCTGCAACAAATAAAAAAGTCTATTAAAAATGCAAAATAAATTCTGAGTTACTACAAATGAAATAAAACTACAAATTTTAATCATTATCTTGAGCAATAATAAGTCATTTGACAAAGCAGTTAAGCAAAGATTTTTATTTAGTTTTGGTTTAATGGAAAAATAATGATGAAATAAAAAACCCCCACTTCTACATTAGGAAAAGCTTAAAAATTAACTTATAGGATACAGTAAGAATAAAATGAATTTAAATATCAATAATTTTGTTTCTAAAATAAATTCAGACCCACATTTTATATTTAAAAGGTAACAAATTATATCTACAGGTCTTTTTTGAACAAAGGGAATTAGAAATATAGAAATAAACTAATAGATGTTTATTTTTAAAAAATGTGATAGTGTTTACCTTTGAACAAAACGTTACTGCAGGGCCTAATCCACTAGTGCATGTCAGCCCCAATAAAATGTACACAAAACCAATCGAATACGAATACAAAACCTGAAGTAGATAAAAATAAAGTGGGAAGAAGTACTATCAAACCAAAAGTGGAAGATTAAGGGTTTTAACTACATGGCTCAATTAATCTGTTCAATTAAGTCTGCATAACAAAATATTTTTAAAGTCACATTATCATTTCAATATGGCTTAACTTTCTGGAAATGATGTTTGATTCTAACGGTTTATAAGTCTATATCTTATTTTATATACAAAATAACACAGCAGTACTAATTCTTTCATATATGCTTATAATTCTTATTCATTTCTTGTCTGGCTTAATTACTGAATTCAAACTATATTTTAATGTTAGAGTTCTAAAAAATAAACATGAACTAAACAAAATAAAAAGTTTTAAAGCTACTTATAAAACACGAAAAAAACATTAGATTTGAAGTAGACATTAAAATATAATAAAATAAGCAGTGTATGGCATATTTATTGTGTAACTTCCCTGTTTTCCAACTAAACTTTTTATTTCAATTTATCCTATTCCTCATAAACAGAATCAGCCACAGCAGCAGCATCAAACTTAAAGACCTGTTATGTGTCAGGTATTGTGCTAATGCTCTATATGGGTTATTCTGTTTACTTCTCACAACCATACTATGAGATGGGTATTCTCAATTATTAAAATCCCATTCCAAAGATGAAGAAACTAAAACGTAGAGATATTAAGTAGTTTTACTCCAAATAAGAGCTAGTAAAGCCAAGATATGAACTGAGGCTATCCTATTCCAGAGCCTACCATCATAACCACTGCATTGTACTAACTTTATAACTCCTTACACTCCCTCAATTCTCTCTGAGATCATCCTTACCTTACCTAGAATGAGCAGTGAGGATGATCAAGAAAACTCTGGACCAAGATTAAAGTTCCTATGCTACCAGGGACTACTTAAGTTGCTCAACTCTGTGCTAAGAAAGTACAAGAAAGAAGAGTCTTATATATCTTTAATACACTATGCTGTATCTGTCCAGCAAGGTGGTTGGTTATAAAATTAATGAGAGAACACACACACACACACACACACACACACACACACACACACACACACACACACACACACACACACCACTTTTCCTCTATACAAATAAAAGCCAGTTAGAAGACAGTGAAAGAAAAGACATTGTTTATAGTAACAGCAAAAAGGATGAAATACCTAACAATACTTTAATAAGAAATGTGCTGGATTTAGGTTTATATTAATATAAAGAAAACTTTAAATCTAACAGATTAAAAAAACACTTGAATAAAAGTAAAATCATACCTTATTCTTGAACTGAAAGAATCAAGTGTATAGATGCCATTCTCCCTAAATAAATTTATAATTCAATGCCATACCAATCCCAATCCCAATGGGATTTCTAGTTTATTTGGGGATATGAACACCCAAGAATAACTACTGGTAGTAATATTCTGAAAAAGAAAAGGAACAATGGTGGCTAGTCCTAACATGATAGTGTATGATAAAGTTGTTGTCGTTAAGTGTACAGGTGCAGGAATAAATTCAACAGAATACAATTCCTACATTAGAGTGTGATATGATAAAGAAGACATTCAAAATCAGCTAGAAAAGTGGATTATTCAATAAATGGCATTGGGACAAATGGGTAGCCATATGAAAGAAAAGTTTAAGATTGGACCATGGTTTTAACAAAAAAAGAAATCATTAAACTAGTAGGCAACAAGGATGAAACTTTTTAAACCTCAGAGTTGGGAAAGCTCTTTTCAACCATGATACACAGCTAGAAGTCAAGAAGGAAAAGATAAATTGGACCATATAACAATTACAAACTTCTACATGGAAAATAAAACCCAATATAAAGAGGGGAAAAGTGATCTAACAATGAATTCTAATACATAAAAACCATAACTCAATGAGGAAAAACTTTATCAAATATATAATAACCTGTTGGCAGTATTAAAAGTGGCAGTTTTACTTTTTACCTTCCTATAAGGTTTGAATATGTTACTCTTATGAAAATATGATAGTTTAAAATATAATGCAAGTCTTTGATACTATTTCATAAACTTAGGTATATCACTATTGTTTGGTCTGTATGATGTAAAGAAAAAGCACTAAAGTATTCACCATTTCAGAATTAGAAGCATTATGCAGTTTCATAGCTTTCTCTTGAACATTTCCGATGACAGCATCTGCACATAGTGCCAGGGAAATAAGCATCACACCTTCAAGAAAGTATTAAAAAAATCTCTTTATTTAAAAATATGACCTATAACTGTGTTCTATCAGAAATTTAATGAAACTGAAAAACAAAAGCAGATCTTCAACCACATTTGCTCAGTAATCCTGAATATGCTTATCCACAACCAGTTTTAACAAATACATAGGTAATAATATTGAAACAAAAAGAAAAACCTAACACTAATTAGCTGAGGTAATTCTGTCACCATTACCACATTTTAATAGCATATCAAATAATCAATTTTCACACTAGACTATATGTTTGAAAGAAATACTGCATTAAACAAGTACAGAAGAAACTCTTAAAATAACTAAAAGGGTTGGTGGCTAGTCAGTTAATTTTAAAAAACAGAGGAAGAGGAAAATCTTTATTTAAAAAAAAAACCCTTTTATGGGGTTGGGCATGGTGGCTCATGCCTGTAATCTCAACATTTTGCAAGGCTGAGGTGGGAAGATTGCTTGAGCTCTGGAGATGGAGACCAATCCAGGCATAGAAAGACTTCATTTCTACAAAAAAAAACCAAAATAAATTAGCCAGGAATGGTGACTCAGGCCTGTAGTCCTAGCTATTCAGGAGACTGGGGCAGAAGGATCACCTGAGCCAAGGGGGTCAAGGCTGCGATGAGTTGTGATCTATGCTACTGCACTCCAGCCTGGGCAACAAAGTGAGATTCTGATTCAAAATTAATAAATAAATAACGATATTGTTAAAACAAAACAAAACTCTATAATTACTAAAATAATTTAAAACACATAATAAGCACGCAGGCAGTTGCCAAAGTCTTTTCATTGAGCACAGGTACTAACTAGAATTCTATACTTTGTCTTTTGTATAAAACACATTCATAACACACAATCTCCAGGATTTCCAAGTTGTTTTTGTTTAAAAGTGCATCTAAAATTTGGGAACTTCAAAACAACTGGAGTCCAGAAACCTTTCATATTTTTATGAGTTCCCCTAATTCTTAGTTGTTTCATCCAAACCTAATTCAATAGTGCTTTTATTGACATGTCAAACCAAATTGTTTCAATTAGATTAGTTTTCACAGAAACAATGATCTTTTCATACTCATTTTTGAATAGTTTAAATTATGATATAACTATAACAACAGGTACAACTGACATTAACAAATTTGAGAGTCAACACAACTCATTCCAAGGAAGCACCCAAGTGTATACTTGTACTTGAGAAGCAGGCTATTAACTGAAAGTGTTTAGGACGCATGGTCATTGGTTGCAGTTTTTACAGAACGGTAAACAGTAAAGAGCAGCCTCAAAGTTACATCTGTGAATCTAATCAGGGTTACAGAAATCTCTTCTTTCTTTTTTTAAATGTGTACGCCATCATAGTTAGCAGAAAACTCTTTGTACACGTGTATATATCTCAGTCAATTAAGAATTTTCAAGTTTTCGTACTTAGTTTGATTTTTCATCATCTAACTTTGGTAATTATTACCTAATCATACATTTTTTTATTCACCAAACTTGATTTTGAAAGTTTTTTTTCACTTGTTTTAAATATTGGATCTATCCTCGAAAGAAGCAGACACGCTATTTTTAAAGATATTGAAGATGTCTTGAAAAAAATTTCTTTTTTTTTCTTTGTGTGTCAGAGTCTCACTTCATTGTCCAGGCTGGAGTGCAGTAGCATGCTCACAGCCACCCCAGCGACGACCTGCTGGGCTCAGGCAATCCTTCCACCTCAGCCTTCCAAATAGCTGGAACTACAGGTGTGTGTTATCATGCCTGGCTAATTTTATTTATTTATTTATTTATTGTAGAGATGAGGTCTTGCCAAATTGCCCAGGTTGTTCTTGAACTCGTGGACTCAGGCCATCCCCTCACCTCTGCCTCCCAAAGTGCTGGGATTATAGGCTTGAGCCACTGCGCCTGGCCAAAGAAGATAATGTCTTAACTCTGAATGGCTACTCAAAGACACTAAAAAATGTTCTGAACGATGGCAAAAACGTGAAAATACCTAAACTGTTTCCTAAGGGAATGTTTTGAAGGAGATATTTATTTGAATAAGTAAATTCTGATAAGTATATATATGCACATACATATACTTTCTACATTCAAAGTTTTATTTATCTCTATCTTAAATAACCATTTTAATAGCTAATCTCATCTCCTTTAGCTAACACACTCTATTAGATTAGGGTAGGGATAAACGCTCATTGATTATTTTTAATGATGAAGTATGGGTGGGTTCTAATTCTCTTCAAAGATATGTCGATGGAACCCAGACAGGGTTCTCACTGTGCTTTTTACAGTGAGAGAGCACAGAATCACTGGAGCTACCTCTTTCCATTGCTGTCACCATCATCATGGCCACTGCCATCATGTGCATGTGATTTCACATCCACTATTCCTTCATCCCATTCTATCCTCCCACTACCTTTGTATGAAGCAAGTTAGCATTATTATCTCTCTTTCATGAGCAAAGTGCAAAGAAGTGTGGTAATTTCCCATGGTTATATATTTTCTAGTATTTTAAATAGAATTTGAAGCCACATCTCTCACTGAAAATTCTGTGCCTTCTCTAATAAAATTGCCTTTTCTTTTCATAAGTAGAAGAGTCAGTTCCCTCAGTTTTCAAGTATAATCTTCTTCTAAGCGTTCCTGAAAAGTTTAGTTCAAGTAAGAAACATCTGCACAACTGCAAGCTTTCTCTGAAACCAAGCAGTGAATGCCTACCTAAAGCAGACAGAGCAGATGTAGTAAGTTCTACCAGAATCATAGGGTTGTTGAAGGGTTACTCTAAGAAGCAAAACTGGCTACAGCCTCATGACACAGTTTAGTAAGGAAGACTGACAACGTAGGAGGTATTGATTCTTAGGAAGAATGGTGAAGCTGATAGGAATAACTTTTTTCCATTATGATAGTTTCTTTTTTCTCCTCACAAATAATTATACTTTGCACTTGCTGAAATTATTATTGTTTTTGCTGTTTTCTCAGTTTCTTTGAAGACCTAGATACTTTAAATCCTCCTTTCATCAGGTTAGGAGATGGGGTAACACTAAATTAACCCTATTAGTAAAATAGGCAATATTGAATATAAGTAAACACCAAAAAGTATTCCAAAGCAATTTCTCTGAAAGGTCTTTAGAATAAAAATAGAATTCCAATACTTATTTTTAAATTTTTATTTATTTGTAAAAATACTATATCCTGGTTTGGAAAATCTAAATTTAACTTATAAGATTTCACAGAGCACACTATGGAAAAAACTTAATTATGGCAGAAACTTTAACTTTAAGATAATGTCCATATTTATATTACACAGCTTAATATTAAAGTACGGCATAAGTCTCCTTCTTTAACTAATACAATGGCAAGTAAATGTGCAAGTTTAAGAAAAATTTTTTTAATGAGGGTAAAAACAATTCTGTGATTCTCTTATAACTATGTACATTTCCAAATCAGCTTATTGAAAATTTTGACTGGGCAAACAGCTTACTGTCATGTTAAAAATGCTAGAGTACTAAGAAACTGTTATACCAGAGTTGTGATATTTTTGCTATATCTTATAGGGAAAGTCTAAAAACTAGGCATGAGAATCACAGATGCTATACTATCACTTAAAATCCTTATGAAATTTTAGAAATTCTTACTCTAAACTAACATACCTATAAAATCTAGGAATATAAATAAATTTCTTACCTGTCAGGTTGAAATTTGGTGCAATTGTGCTATCAGCTAGGGTAAACCATATCAGGCCAAGGCTCATACACAGTGCAGCAGACACATCCACAAAACTGTAACGCTTTCCTGTATAAAACAAATTTAAGTCAGCCTCATATACAAATACCCACCCAGCCTCATGTCAGATCTATGTATTTAACCAAGTAAAGCAGGGATCTGTTTTTCATATTCAATGCCAAAAATATGTGAACGCTTAGGTCAAGGCAGGAGACGAAGATCTAAGGGCTTCTGAAGATCAAATTACCAAAGGCCACCAACATGTCCTTTTAAATTAGGAAAAGATCCTCCTTTATCTATTATGATAGTGAGAATGAAATACATATTTTGGCAAAAACTAACAGCAAGAATAACGCATAGCCATAAACACTGAAATTTTTGTGGAAATTAGTATACTCCTTTTACTTTATGCATAATAAAATGCCACATATTTTCTTGTAGTTGATAAGTTTATGAGAAGAGATGCCCCAAAATCTGGCCTTTATTTATAAAAAATTGTATATTTATTCTTACATGTTTAAACTTTAGTCACCTTCAAAGTACTCTCCGTTTGATGCAATATGCCTATCAAGATGCTTTTTCCACTGCTCAAAACAGTTTTTGAACTCACTAACTTTAATGCCTTTTAGAGCTTCTGCCATTTATTTCACCAGTTCCACATTGACAAAATACTTCCTTTGGAGGACTTTTTTCATCCAGAAAAACAAAAAAAAGTTGCGTGGGGTGAGATCAGGTGATTAAAGAGGGTGGGGCATGGGGGGGGGTCATGCTGTTTTTGGTCAAAAACTGTTTAACATTCAGCGTAATATGGGCAAGTACAATCATAAATTACCCATCATAAAAATAAGCAAACGTGTTGAAAGAATCTCAAAAACAAAAACAAAAACCCAAAATTCACTTAAGCCAAACACAGCCTCTTACAAAATGTTAGCTGTTACACTGATATTGATGGATTCTTAGAACGATTAGTACAGGGGGAAGCCTATACTATTTACAAGGGACTCACCCTCCAAAAGATAATTCTGTCTTTTTTTTTTGGTCCTCCATACAAAGTAACCAGAGTTAATGATTCTGGCTACATAACTATTTAAGTTTGCAAATACCATAATGAGATAACTTCTAGACAGGTGTGAATTAGCTTATTTTAATATACTCATATTTAAAAAATTAAATTTAGTATAATATTTTGGGAGGATAAGGAAATATTATAGGTGCCTAGTCAGTTAGTATCCTAAATTTAATCTTTTTTTTGTGTGTGTGTGTATTGGGTCTCACTCTGCCGCCCAGGCTGGAGGGCAATGCTAAGATCGTGGCTCAGTTGATCCTAATGCCTCAGCCTCCAGAGTAACTGGGACTACAGAAGTATGCCACCACACCGGCTAATTTTTAAATTTTTTTGTAGGGACAAAGTTTTACTATGTTGTCTAGGCTGGTCTCAAATCCTAGGCTCAAGCAATCCTCCTGCCTTAGCTTTCCAAAGTGTTGAGATTATAGGTGTGAGCCACCACGCCCAGCCTAAATGTGATTTTTAATAGGAATTGACTTCCACTATTTTTTTACTAGGTGAACAGTTAATCTGAAATATGTGAAATAGTTGAATACACACTTCCATTTTGAAGGGATTATTTTGGGGTGGCATCTAATGCTTAGAATAAAACCAGTCTATATAGAAACTTCAGTGATACAGAAACACCTGATATTAAAACGCTAATATCTTTCATGACAGTTAACACAAATAACAAAAATTTTTTCCGGTGCTTGCTGTTGTCATTGCCCCTCCTCTTTGACTCATATTTCCACCTAGCTCATAACTTTGCTGGGGCTCTAAGATATCATGCCAGCCAGGTTAGTAAAAATGCAGTTCTCTCAGAATAAGCTTTATTTCAATATGAGAATTGCCCATTGTACAATGGAGGTAGAATGTGGAGCCCCAAAAAGTAGAAGAATGAAAAAACTGAAAAAAGGGTTCTCCAGGTACATTTGAGGTAGGTCTTCCACATGTAAATACTATAATAATAGTATTGCTGGATGCTATAGATTAAAAAGGAAAAAAAAAACAACTTAAAAAACTAAAGCAAAAATACAATTTTTTCTTTTTTCCCTAAGTCCAAATTATTGATTTCAGATACTAACACAGAGGTATTAGTGTTTTAATAATATTTTATTTTTGTAAGATTATCACTCAGAATTTTACCTTATCTAGAATGTTCATTGAGAATATTAATACAAGTTCAATGTTTTTCCTAATGCTAGATGTCATAACATATCCTGTTAGTTTGAAATAGTATGAAAATATATCATTACTATACCTTGAATAAAAACTCCTCCTAGCATAACAGGAATCAATTTGCAGCACTTGAAGATGACTTGGGTAGGATAATTCAGGTAGCCCAAAGAAGTGTTTGATAACCCCATAGTACCCACAGTTAGAAAAGCTATTATCATGTAGGTTTTTCCTGGTATTCTGTAAAAGACAATTTTTAAAACCTTCATTTTGGAACCCAATTCATATTATTGTCAGATAATATGTTTGCAATGTGTAAAGGTCTAATTACTCTTCTAACTTCTGGTTATTATTTCTGAAGATACCACTATTTTAAAGTTATAATGCTGTTTACTTGTACAAAAGGTTTATAAAAATAACAACTTACATTTATTTAATCTATAATAAATTAGGACTCTCAGCTATGTAAAAAAGTGGTACTTAAGAGAGAGTTCGATTTTACTAAAGTTTTAAATGTTGATAAAAGGTTGTATACAGCAGTTCTAGCCACAAATAACTATCTTGACTAAATTTAGAAGAAGAGAGCTCATTTTAAAAAATATTGCCCTTTATAATGATAAAAGGCACCTTAAGTTTTAAACTAATTTTTAACTTCTGAATTGTTCTGTTTCCTAATGTTTCCATCTAGCATTAGGAAAAATATATCTATCCATTCTGCTAGAATCTCAGCAGAATTTCTCTAGGAAAAGTTCACATGGTTTAAAACTCTAGACATGATTTTTATTCTACTATCTTATGCATCATCTCTCTGTACTCTACAAAATATTACAATAATCAACTTTAAGATGAAGTATCTCACTCTCTCATGATTTCACATCTTTTAACTTTGGTTCTATCTGGATTTCCTAAAGGAGATTTTTAATTTGGTATCTTCAGGATTTTGAGCCCTTATGAACATGTGCTCACTTTGTTCTAGATATCGGATAGTCTAAAACAATAATCTTGTACATTGGGTGATGAACACAATGAGGCACTTTTCACATGATTTGATTATGCTGCATACTTACATGCAATTTTCATTTTTGGATTTGTGTTCATGTTTAAATCAAGACAACAAAATTCCCCATTTTTTATGTGGTCAGATAAAAAGTAAAATAATTTACTGGAAAAATTTAATTAAAACACATAATTTCCATTTCTATTTCAATTTTGAAGCCCTTCCTTCTTAACTATGAAGACAGCAGTCAACATTTAAAATCCACATGTAAATAACTTGGCATGTCGTATGCATCGGTGTACACAACATGTGTTCATGCTGCCCATGGGATCTGACTATCAGTAAAGGAGGAAAGCACCACTTCTCCAGGCAATGATACAAGTCATAGTAGTCAAATTTCCTCAAAGATAAATTGCAGACATCAGCCAGAAAATAAAAATTCCAGTCAGAAAATCACAAGAAATTAACCGAAAAGCAGAACAATACAGGTAGAAAGAAAACCACCTTAAAACTGAAGGGATCTATTTTTCTTTGGTATATATCTAGGAGTAGAATTGCTGAGCCATGTCCATTTTTTTCATCATGTAAAAACTGGGTTATTTATATTTTTATTGAGTTGTAAGAGTTCTTTATATATTCTGGATAAAAATCCCTCAGTAGATATGTGATTTGCAAATATTTTCTCTCACTATGTAGACTGTCATTTCACTTTGATGATAGTTTGCAGCACAAAATATTTAAATTTGATGAAGTCCACTTTTTCTTTTATCATAGTACTCTTTGTGTCATATCTAAGAAACCATTGCCGAACTCAAAATCATGAAGATTTGGTCCTATGTTTTACCACAAGAGTTTCGTTTTAGCTCTTACATTTTAGTCTATCCATTTTGAGTTCATCGTTTGTGTATGATGTGAAGAAAAAGTTTAATTTCATTTATTTGCATGTGGATATCCTCTCTTTCCTTTGCCATTTGTTGAAAAGACTATATTTTCCCTAATAAATTATCTTTGCACCCTAGTTAAAAATCAGTTAATCATAAATGTAATGATTTCTTTGTAGACTCTCAATTCTATTTAATTGATCTATAAGTTTCTCCCCATGTCACTGTCTGTCTTAATGTTGCTTTGTAAAGAGATTTGAAATTGGGATGTCTGAATTCTTCAATTTTATTTTTATATTCCAAGAATACATGGACTATTCTGTATCCCTTTAATTGCCATACGAATTTAGAAATTATGTTGAATGTACAGATCAACTGGGGAAGGGGGTTGGGGAGAATAGAGAGTGACTGCTAATGAGTAAGGGGTCTTTGTAGGAGTGATTTAAATATTCTAAAATTGATTGTGGTGATAGTTGCACAACTCTGTGAGAATAAAAAGTATTGAAGTGTACACTTTAAATGGATTAACTGTATGATATGCAAACTATATCTCAGTAAAGATTATTAATGAAATAAAAATTAATCTAATAATAATAAAAGAAAGGAAACTGAAGGGATCTAAATTCAAAAGCTTCCAACTCTAAGAGCAACTTGTTATAAGCTCATAAAAATCTCAGTACTCCTCTAGGTCTCTGTTTTCCCATTGGTAAAATGAGGAAGTTGAATTTTATCAGCTTGCCTCTAGGATTCTCACTGTTCCTATGTTATTTAATACCTTGACTGTGTGCCTGTTTAGAAATGGCGGGAAAATTATAACTTTAAAAACCCTTTCAAAACCAATTTGTCAGATCTCCTCTATTAAAAACTCAAGGTAATTAATAATAAAGTTAGAAGATAATCTTTGGTGAAAAAGAAGTAGCTTACTCATAAGCAGACCCTGAACGTTTACCATAATATTATAAGAAGGGGACTAGCAGTAGCGGGATACTGCCAGGGTGTGTGTGTGTGGGGGGGGCGGCGGGGAGGAGGGGGTACACAACATCAGTAAGTGTACCTGATCTCAAACCAGGCAAAATGGGGACCAAAGGGAGAGACCCAAGCTTTACCTGTATGATGTCCACTTGTATACCTAATCCTGACTTGTACCCCACATTTTTAAAATAAAAAATAAAATAACATAAATAAATCAGAAGAAAAAAAAGAAAAAGCAGCAGCATATTTAGTAGATTACAGTTTATGATGTGCCTTAGCACACAGTACCACATTTAATTCTCAAAATAAAACTTAAGAGAATTTCAGAAAAGGAACTTTTCCCTGAAGTCTTGACAAAGCTTATAAGAGATAGTACCAAGACCCACATCCATGTTTTCCAACTCCAAATTGTTGTCTTGTCACTACAATGATATTCATATAAATGTAGTAAATGTCATTTTCACTTAACAAAGACAGCATTAATATCTTTTACCTTAGAAGTAATTAAAGCCCTAGTAGCTTGCAGTAAGTAATGAATCATCAGGCTTCCTTATATATTAGTCTTGACTAATATATTTAATTACTTCCTATTCTATCACCGATGGCTGTATGTTGTGGAGATTCAGAACAAGAAAATAAGGAAGACAATATGCTCAGATTCAAATTTTTTTTTTTTACTATAATGGCTACAATAATCTACTGGCAATAAAGAGGGGTTAGAAGGCAAAATTAAACCCATGAAGAAACCCTTGTGCTACAGATTTAAATATTTAAAATTATACAGTTATCTTGCACAAACTTCAAAATCATGTAAACAAAAGCTGCAAAACATTTTTTATTTTTAGTAAAGGATTAAACATTTGTAACAATGTAACTGATTCAATGTCAGTATTATAGCCCTTATTACATTTAACTATCCAATATTACAGTATGATATGACAGGATGACACTTATATTTATCAAGAAAATTTTATGTTCAAACTCCTAACTACCTTCAAAGACTATGTTTTTTATGCTACCATCAGAGACTATGTTTTATTTCATATTGTTCTATGTCATTAAAAATATATCAAAATATTTCACAAATTTAGATGGTTAGTAATTTAAAAGATACCGTCAAACGAGCTCCTTTGGTTTTAATGAAAAGAAACAAAATTTCTTTCCTGAATCTTTAAGAATGCAATCTCAGCTACATCACATGACATTGTTAGTTCGCATATATCCCACAAAACATTAACTTTACATTTTAAAGACTAGTATAAAAACAGATACAGGTTGAGCATCCCTTATCCAAAATGCTTGGGACCAAAGTGTTTTAGATTTTTTTGGACTTTGTAATTTTTGCATATAGATAAAGCAGTATCTTGGGTATGGGACAAAGGTCTAAACATGAAATTTGTTTCATATATACTTTATACATACAACCTGAAGGTAATTTTATACAATATTTTAAATAATTTTTGTGCATGAAACAAAGGTTGTGCTAAGTACTTATTTGTTTTTTTTTTTTTTGAGTTGGAGTCTCACTCTGTCGCCCAGACTGGAGTGCAGTGGCTGCTCCCAGCTACCGCAGCCTTGACCTGCTGGGCTCCGGTGATCCTTCTGCCTCAGCCTTCCAAGTAGCCAGAACTACAGACGCGCACTACCACGCCCGGTTGATTTTTTGATTTATTGTAGAGATGAGGTCTTGCTGCCCAGGCGGGTCTCGAACCCGCAGGCTCAGGCAATCCACTTACCTCAACCTCCCAAAGGCGCGGGATTACAGGCTGAGCCACTGAGCCCGGCTAGTACTTATTTGTAGAAGAATTTCCCACTTGTGGCATCATGTCAGCACTCAAAAAGTTTTGGATTTTGGAGTATTTTGGATTTTTGATGTTCAACTTGTATTGATATTTCATTTCACCACTTTGACGTTAGTTGCATTATAAATCTTTCAGTAACTATACCTATTTTCAGTGAAATTTATATAAACATGTTTGTATTCCTATTTTCTCATGTTTTAAGCTATACCTTAAGTTAAACCTATGTTATATTTCTTTATTTTGCAATATTACACTTAAAAAGAGACCTCATTTTCCTCATACTTAGTACTATTGATAAGTTGGTTCTACTGACAAAAATTTGTGGTTACTAGATTTATTTTGTTAATTGAAAATATAAATTTCATGCATATTTAGTACATTAAAAAGTAGTGAATTTAACTATCAAAAAAATAAAAACAAACCACATACCTTCTCCTTTTGTCCTGAATAAGCTGAAGTTCTATTAGGCCAAATATGGAGTAAAAGGCAAACTGCACTAAAGTAAGGTACCAGCCATAGGACTTAAAACCCTCCACTGAAAATATTAATTCCTGTCAAAAGACACATGAATAGTGTTAAGTTCAAGGGGGCATATTGATTTCCTCAGAATAAATTACTATACATGTAACATTTTAAAAAACTAAATCCCATTCCCTATTTAAAAAAGAATCCTTGTTTTTTTAAAACTCTTAACATTAAAACAGTGGCTCAAAACAGTGATTCAAGAACTTATTACATGAAAAGCATATTTAGTTGGAAGTCTATTATCTCAAGCCTGTTGTTCTATAGGAAGTCAGTTCATATTGATAATATTTTTTGAAATTCCTGTGCTGTAGATTATGAAAACCTTCTTCTTGTAGAGGGATTATTTGATTTTTCTAAACATATTATATTATGAAGTAACATTTACATCAATTATTAATAAGTCATTCCCAACAAGTAATTAAGAGGTATTCTAATAAAGTTATCTGGCTTACCATTAACTGAATAAATCAAATTGAGTAACTGAAATGAGTGTATGTATGTATATAAAAAAATTTGACTATCATCCTCACTTTCTTTGAACTATTTTGATATGCAATTATATGTAAGAGTTAGAAGCAATGTTGATTTTCAAAGTGAAAGTGGTAAAGTTATACACATAATTAGCAGTGCTTTATGTAACTAAAAAAAAAAACCACTGTATATACCAATTAGAAATTAAAATATCTCTTTATTAATCAGAAAAAAATTGTTTAATGAAACCTGTAGGGTAAATTTCTAATTTGTTTTTCTTTGCAATGACTAACTCTGCTCCCAAGCTATTTGGTAACAAGTGATATGCTGAAGAAATAAAACGTTTCTCAAAAAGAAACTCTAATCGCTATTTAAAATTGTTCCTCAAGTTTTACATCATCTTCTAGTAGAAAATCAGTTATTATAAATATTAAGATTTTTAATTTATGTTTTTTGTCTTGCATTTTCTTGTTAGCATTCTTACAAGCTAACTAAAAAAATACAGTTATAATCCTATTGCCTATTTTACTTACAGTTACATCTCTATAGGACAATGAAGTACAAAAATTAAGATCACTTTACTAAAGAATACTGGAAATATTATCTGTGTTTTAAGAAAATACATTGTGGGTCAGGTGCAGTGGTTCATGTCTGTAATCTCAGCACTTTGCAAGGCCAAGGCAAGAAGACTGCTTGAGCCCAGGAATTTGAGACCAACCTAGGCAATACAGCAAGACCTCGTCTCTATAAAAAAATAAAACAATCAGCTGGGGGTGCTAGCATGTACCTGTAGTCCCAACTACTTCGGAGGCTGAGGCAGAAGGATCACCTGAGCCCAAGAGGCTGAGGCTGCAGTAAGCTGTGATCTTGCCACTGCCCTCCAGCCTGGGTGACAGAGTGAGATCCCAACCTAAAGAAATACATATATATACACATATTGTGCTCCTTTTCTTGAATTACAAAGGTTCTCTTAAGTCAAGGAATTACATTTAAAAAAGAGAAAGTAATGGCTAAAAGTATTTACTAATTAAATGGCCATTAATAAAATTAGTCCCCATCAAACATCCTTTTCAGTAGCATGGATCCTCACCCATCTAAGCCTATGTATGTGAAGGTTAGGAATTTGCCGCTAGCCAAACTTATACAACTATCCCAAAATACAAGGCAAAAACGAGACAAATTATTGCTATTTTAGAAATGCTTTATAAAAGCAAAAATCACTAAAAAAATAAGATTCTGGCAAAGTTAAAATAGTAAGCCAACAAGAATGACAACGTAATAGGTACTAAAAAAAGAAGGATTCAAATATAGGATTAAAGATATCCTTAAAAATACATATAAAGTCCTGATATATTTTTGCAAATGATCTTTTATTATTGAGCTCCAAGAATCAAGAGTAAACTGTGCTACCATTCAATTTTATTGAAAAATGATGTTCCAAGATGCTAATCAATACTTGAATCATTCTTTCTTTTAAAACATGATTGCAATTATTACATTTTGTTAAATATTTAAAAATTTATTTTCATAATTTTAATTCTACATTCCCCTCTATCTTCATTTAAAATATTTAACTCTCAAATTCTGATCTGTTTTCAGCAGACTTACTTTTCAGAAGCTCTTTTCTACTACTGTACTAAAAAACAATTCATAAATAAGCTAAAATTTTGTAGACAAAAATATCTTTGACAACACTACTAGTACCCACACTGACTTCAACTGCTATAACTAATTACCATATTACAAATAACTATTTACCTGCAAATATCCATAAATTAGGTAAAATACAAAAACTCCGGCAACACATATGAAAAACTGAGTAAGTTTGTTAAATTTGCTGAGATTTATGCCAAGAACTATAATATCATCAACAGACTTGATATGTGGTGACATTGTCTGGGTTTTGGATGGCACAGTAATAGAAATATATTTCCTGGAGTTGTTAAACTTGAGATCCATTGTTATTTTGCTGTATTCAATGCTTTTAAAAGTGATCTTTGTTTCCTCTCTTTTGTTCTTTCTTTTGCTTGCTGTGTCAAGTCCTAGAGAAGAAATAAGCAATTAAAGCAAAACACTAAGATCACTAAAAATTACCATACCTTAAAATTATACAGATAAGTCTGATTATCTCTGGATATTAACATACTAATTCCTATATTCCAACTTCTAAACCACCAAAAACAATATGCCTACTTTTCAAACAATTTATCTGCACCAGATAAAAATCAATACATCAGTAAATTAAATATACACCATACTTATTTCCACAGCAACAAGCCAAAATCTAACCTATTACTTATTTCATCCCCAAATAACTAAGCATGGATTTGTTTTTATATGATAAATACATAATTTTTAAAGACCACTATAATTTATGTACAACATCCTTAATGTTAAAGTCAATCTTTACTTGCAAAGAATATAATGCTCCTTTAAATATGAGAACTGTAAAATATATTGAAATTTTACAAATAAAGTCCAAAAGTGGTAAGTTACTTAAAAAGCGATATTTATCAGAGACCACAGAAAGGATAACATGCTTTACCAACAGCATCTCTGTTTAAAACATTATGTTCCTTTGGATGAAATCATTTTAAGTCTAAAAGGTCTTTGGAAAGTAAAGGGCTGGAAAATATGCCATTTTTGGTCAGTCTGTGAAAAAAAAATGAAGGTGCCATATAAACTGAAAAAATGAATTCTACCGTAAAAGAAAAGACTGAAGAATTATGACAAATTCAAGAATAGAACAAACTTTTTGTTTTATAGGATATCTGCCATACTTCTAAGCCGAAAATGTATAGTTTTATGAAGTTTTACTGTGCTTCTTGTCACTTATTTATTCTTCGTTTTACTTTGTTCTTGCTTTCCACATTATGTTTCAATCTTTGTCATCTTTTTATGACTTTTTATGCCATCTTGAAAGATACCCTTGAGATATGAGTTTCCTTAAAACTATGCTTTAAATTATTTCCCCTAAACATTTGGTCTAACCTGTATTTGAATGTAGAAAAGACAAAAACCTTAACAATTTGCTCTTTTCTGTTACGTGTAGGCATGAACACAGAGCACCATTCAAATGAACCTGGCCCCATATAGGTTTCTTTCTTTCTTTTTTTTTTTACTTAAACATTTCTTGCCATACGTTTTCAGATTACCACATGGGAGCCATATAGGTTTCTAAGCTGCCTCTTGCTCCACTTTCCATAAAGCCCCAAACCATCCATGTTTCATTCTCAAAGTACACCACAGGCTTTCAAACACGTTTGCCTTCTGTTCATGACATCCTTTCAGCCTGTCTTCTTTCTTCAGGTCAGGCTTTGAAGTTCAGCTTTAATATCCCCTCCTTTGTGACACCCTCCCTAATTACCCTAGTTGGGAGAAAGAACTTGAAAGGAAAGACTCAAAATCTTGTTTCTGTACCCTTGGTATCTAGCATCACTCTTTACCCAAAATTCAGATGAACCAAATAAACTGGTCCTTCTTCTGGATGCCCTCAAACTTCAATTTACAATCACTTACTCTCTGCCTGAATATAATTTTTGAAATAGGCAAAGTTTATGGGCGAGATTGGGAGAAATATATACATGATTATGATATATTTGCACACATGTATAGAATAAATAAAACCTCTAAGAAATCACTTTTCTGCTTTTATTAGTATCATAAATTTCTTCAGAAGGTAATAATTTCCCAAAGTCATCTTCTGAGATGTTTGCAATTTAGCAAAATGCCGAGAATATTGTAATGACTCAATACAATTATAGCTAATGTTTCAACAAAGTAATACAGCACAGTGCTTTCCCCATGCTTTGGAATTTTGACAGATATGAACTCAAGATCTGGCCTTACAAATTATTAACTGAGGGGTCTGGGAAAATTATTTAAAGCTTCCTGAACTTTAGCTTCTGTGTCTTTAAAGGGGAGTATGATTTAAAGATGTGCCTATAATAGGATTTTAGTTAGGACTACATAAAATATGAGGGGGAACCCAAGAAAAACTGGAATTATTTTTTGGAGAGCCAGGCCCCTTGTACTAATAGTGTAGGCTCCTGGCTAGGTAAGTGTTCTAAGAACCCACTGGTCTCAGTGTAACAGCCAGTGTTCTTATGAGAGGCCCAGTTCAGCTTCAGTGAATTTTTTTTGGAGATTCTGTCAACGTGTTTGCCTATTTCATGATGGGTGATTTACAAGCACACCTGTCCCCACTGGCTGAGGGGTCAGCAGTTTTTGATAAAAAACCAGCAGAATCCCTGTGCCCCACCCTCCCTATTCATCGAATCTCACCCCAGGCGACATTTTGTTTCCTGGGATGAAAAAAGTCCTTAAGGGGAAACATTTTGTGATGTGGAAGAGGTGAAACAGAAATAGCAGAAGCACAAGAGTTCAAAAACTGTTTTGAGCAGTGGAAAAAGTTTCGATAGGTGTACTGCATCAAATGGAGAGTACTTTGAAGGTGACCGACCTTTAAACATGTAAGCATAAGTACACAAAATTTTATAAATAAATTCTGGGTTTTTTTTAGGTCCCTCCCTCATCATATATGTAAAGGTGCCTGGCATATAGTATGAAAGTCCACACATGTTAGCTATCACTATTCAACTTTTTAGAAATATTGCTAGGGTAGTATGACATGCTGAAGCTGATTCACCCCTCTGATGTGCAGTTGGAAATATATCTATACTTGGATATATACTTGGATTTCTAACCCAGATTTCTCTCCTAAGATCCAGACCTTTATTTCCAATTTTTTTTAATGTCTCTTCTCATATGCTCCATGGGCACCTTATATTAAAAGTGTCCAAAGCTGAGTTTATTATCTTCCCCTCAAAACAAATCTATTCTTTTATTCCCCCTATATTCCCAATCTCAACAGTACCTAGTATGAAACACAAACTAAAAATTTGGGAGTTATGTTAAGATTTTTTTTTCTTTTTTCTCACATAATATATTTTGCCAACACTCCTATTAATACTACATCCATAAAAATATCTAAAATTTGTATCTCATCCTACCCCATCAAGCAGCCATTTTCTCTCATCTAGGTTACTAGATTAGTCTGCTTAAAATCTCTTGTTCTCTTTCTGACCCATTGTTCACACTGCTCAGAATGAATACTGTCATGCTGTACCCTTGATTAAGTTTTTAAGTTAAAAACTCATTGGTGTCCTGGACTCATAAAGCATATATACCTATTTTTAAAAATACCTAAATCATAATAGTATAACTTTCCTGTTTTCTTGTCTGCTTGTCCTACAACCACGAGTCCCTTAAGGCAAGAGATGTCATCTTCATATGTTCCAGCACATAACAAAAATGTAAGGTATTAAGTGAAGAACTCTAATGCACTTTAGTAAACACTATTTAATCAACATTACCCTGCTCCTTTCCAATACTTGACAATTCTAAAATACTTCCTGGCAGCCTTCTAAGCTGCAGATCTAGGCCACATGTGCAGAGTTAAATCTCTCCAACACTATTCTTTCCATACATGGGTGCCAAAGTACTGACATCTCTACTGAAATTCCCACAAAACATCTGAAATGAACATGAAAATAAATTCATTTCCTTTGCTTACCTGAGGTGTCAGTACCATAAAACTTGCTCTTTAAAGTCTTGCATTTAGAATGCAGTTTTATTAACTAGAACACCACTGGCCAAAAAGTGTGACTGATGAAGGCCTCTGATTTCCAGAGTAACTGTAATCCTTAATGTATGCCATATCCCTTCCATTTCAAACATTAATGACTGTTATTAACTATCATGTAAAGAAAATGGGCCAAAGTCCTTTGATGTAAGGGTTAAACAATGAAGCACAGAACTAAAATTAATTTTCAAATTAAATGAACAAGTTTACACATCCCTTGAAAATAAAATTTGAAAAAAATCACAAGTGTGAATCATGCCTGAGGCCCCTCCCTAAAGTCAACACAGACATATAACTTTAGTTCCTTGAAGGTACAAATAACTGCTAAAATGGAATAAAAAGGTAGCAGTTACAGTGCACAGTGAATATTTAAAATTTAAACATAACTGGTGGTACACTGACTCACAATGATCTACTGAAGTCAAAAAATATTTCAGTTGAGATATTTCTTAATCTAGTCTTTTTCAAATGAAGGACAAAAGTCCCCCACCACAAAAAAGAGTGAGAAAAATATGCCATTACAGTGTGAGTAACCTGAAAAAACCTGACTGCACAATTTGACTACACTCGACATTACAAGTAAAAGAATCCTGCCATGACATTATGCCTGGATTAACTGCTCTAAAATTAATCACAACCTATGAAAAATGATTATAAAACAGAATTTCTTTGTGCATGCTTCATTACACAAATTTGGAGAAACCTTGCGCTAATTTTTGAAGACTACACTTTTTTTTCCCCAAAGAAGGCTAAAATTATAGTTTAATCTCTATATTAGTAAAAATAATGCTATCTAAATTATTTTCAAATGCTGCCTGCATCTCTCATCCAAGTCCCAAATTATCCCAATTCACTTAGAAAAACGTTTACTTAAAAAACAATTCTAGGTGTCTGATATCCTACCATAAAAGAAATGTGCTCTAAAACACCTTTAAGAAATTCTGTTGGCGTACCAAATCATTCCATCATCTACTCTCTATATCCTTAAAAATAAAAAAAGAAAACAAAACGATGGGAGTCGGATTCAGCTACAAAGACTGAAGGCACTTGCAGCACTTCTCCTGGAAGTCTGTCATTAACTTAATAACCGAGCAAGAACAACTGTCTTCCACTGCACGTCAAATGGAGACTCGAGTCCCCTGGAGCGCCCCTATTTAAAGGCAGAACCCGGAAGTGGTCCTGAACTCCAAATGCAGCCTCGAGGCATCCAGGCGACTGACAGATCTCCAGAGGCCCCGAGAGCAGCCTCAAAGGCCCCTGGCGGCGACCTCACCCCTGCGAATCCATAGGCTGTGGCCCGAGGAAGTTCTCGCCAGCCAGATGGCTAAAAGGCGGCGAGAAGAGCAGGCGTTCCTCCTCCCGGAAAGCCCTGCAGCCCACTCCTTCCACCCGACCTCATCTGCTCCTCGAATGCTCCTTCTGCATGGGAAGACAGGAAGTGTCAAGGTTCTCTGGGGGGAGAGGACGTCTGGGCCCCAAACACGGGAAGGCCCCCGGAGGCACGCCCACCCCAGAGCCGGTATGTCACCTGGAAGGGTGACCCTAGCCCGGGTGGCGCCTCAGCCAGACGGAACGTCTCCCCCTCCCCAGGTCCGTCGCCATCACCTCCTCTTCTACCTCCTCCTTCTCTCCTACTCCTGCATTTCCCACCACGACGGCCGCTTTCCCGGAAGGTGCTCGCAACACCGGCTCCCACGCGCCACTTCCGCCTGTGTGTCCCCGCGCGCGTGCGCAAGCGCGTGACCCCCCCCCCCCCGCCCCCAGCCGGCCTCGGTCCGCCGCCGGCGTGTGCGCCGTTTCCTCCTGAGCATGCGCCGTCCACTCTAGGACGCGGTCCGGGGTCCACCTGGCTGGGTCCTGCGATGAAAGCAGTGCTTCAATTACACCCACTGAAGGTGGAGTGGGGGCGGCAAGCGTCGACCGGGCCAAGAATCTCATCCTGCGGTCGGTGTTCTCGCGACTTCCCGGCCTCTGAGCCTCTGAAGCCCCCGAGGTTTCAGCTGCTGCGTACCCCGGACCCCGTGGCTGCCCACAAGGGAGGCGACTTCCGCGTCATGGCCCTGGGCTGAGATTTGAGAAGGCGGCCACGTAGAGAGGGTTGAAACTAGATTTTTAAATCCTTCGGTCCTCTCGTTCCCCCCATTTGATCTAAGTGAAATGCGAAAAAAGTCACAGTATCTCTGTCTTCGTGTTTCTGCCCGATTCATACCTGCTTCTCCGATGACATGGGGCTTGGAATGTTTCTGACGTAATAATTCAGCTGTAATTACAGCAACCGTGGTTCTTGCAACCTAACAGATGTGTTGCCAGCATGGCCTTGACAGTGCCACTTACAACTTGGAAGGTAAATCCCAAAGCTTGAGGACCAGCCATCAAAACTTTTCTAAACGTTTAGGACTACAGAACTATAGTCACTGAGATGTAATGTTGTAAAAACCAAGATTCCGGGATGGCGATGAGTTATTTTTAGATAACACTTAAAGAATGATGTGGAAGGAAGGTATAACAAAGATGGGCAATTTTTGAGAACGTACTTTGGTTAACAGAAAGGGATGAATTGAATATATATATGTATATATATATAAAATATATACTTATATATGTATTTATACATATTTATATATGTACCATATAGAGATGTTTATATATGTGTTATATATATGTATTATGTATTACATACGTGTTGGAATCCAAGTCAGTTATGAACATCTTTTAAAATTCTATAGGAATGATGCAGAAAGGGCAGCAGTTGTGTCTAGTATTGAGAGTAGGGGTTTATATTGAAGCGAGGTACCTGCTTTAAGTGGTGGTGAGAAAAAATGATCTGGTTTAGGCGTTTTCATTTTATACTTACATACTTAGTCCTAGCTAGACCAATGTTATCAACATTTAAAAATCTAAAGCTTAGAGAACTTACATTTTCTACATAGATAGTAAATAACAAAGACTTTCAGTTATGCCATACTGCCACTGAATGATGTGGGTTTAATACTGCTGGTGTAATATTGCCACATGGTTATCACATAAGTAATGAAACACAGTAATATAAGGGAGTAAATATTTATTAAACAGCTATTCTATAATGGGTACTATTCCAGATAGTCTGTCATACATTTCACGTTTGACATGTTAAAATATTTCACTGATAGGTTAGTCAGAGAAGCGTTACAATCGGGTGACATTTGAGTAGGGATAGGAAGAAAGTGAAGCAGCAAACCCGGTGGACGTCTGAGAGGGCAATGTTTCATGTAGAGGGAACTGTAGTTATAAAGCACTGATGCTTGATTTAGGTGCTTGGAGAGGGTTAGAAAAAGCTCTGAAGTGTTGCTTAGATGTGACCCATCAAGAACAAGTACAGTTTTACAAGCCATGGTAAGAATTTTGAACTTTAATATTAGTAGAATGGTAAGCCATTAGAGGGTTCTGTGTACTGGAGTGGCATATTCTGTGACAGAGTCTAAAGTGATTACAACAGTTGCTGAATGACTGGAATGTAGAGAGCCAGAGAAGCCCTGTTCAAAGGCTTTTACAGTTGTCTAGGAATGAGCAGGTTATACCTTTTGACACCTGTCATACCATAAGTTGTTTTATACTGTCATTTACCTTCTCATGAAAAACCCTAACTCCTTGAGGGCAGGGAGCTCATACTTGTAATTTATGGATTATGTATATGACCTATACATATGCCCGTTTAACAGATGCTTGATAAATGTATAATTGGCTAAATATTTGGTGTAAGAAGCAATTCTTGAATGCATGCCCTCAGAAATCTGAAACTGGGTTACTTTTCAGTCAGGTGGCAACAAGGACTTCTGTTAGTGACTTTAAGAAGACACATGTGTGGCCTGGCAGTTAAAACTCTTTCTTAGTAAAGCTAGAATAACTACTACCTCTTTGAATGCCCAGGCTCACCATAGTAAAAGATGACGGTAACTTCTGTAAGGAGAGCAGTCCACTGCTTGATTGATTACATAAGAGCCCTTCCTTCCTGGAGAGAACAGTGGTTCATACTTAGTGAAGTGACACTTCTCTTGATACGAATTTGCCTTGTTCACAGTCCTTCTGCCAGCACTACTACCTGGTAGAGTTACAAACACTTGATTTTCTGACATATTACTTCCACCAAGGGATATACTTTATGGTAAACGAGGTGCGATAATGACACATGACCTTGGAGTCCACTGGCTCTGCCACATATTGTATCGCCTGGACGAAGTTGGTCTGATGGAAAGAACATTGACATAGTCTAGTGAATAAATCTCCAATAATGTGAAAATTACTGAATTTCTCTAAGTCTGTCTTCCCATCTGTGAAATGGGAATGATAATAGTACCTACCTGGTAGGTTGTGATTATTAAGTGAAAGGATTAAAGATAGTTAAATGGTTAGCACAATGCCTATCACCTGACAAGCACTCAGTAACTAGGTTAGCTATTATTATTTTATTACTATCACCTATCATTAGACATCATTTATATATTATTATCATCAGTTGTCTCTTTTCTAGCTCTTTCATAAAGAATAGCTTATTTAGCATTTTCAAACTAGGCAGTTCATTGGTAGATGTATGATTCCCGATGCACTGAACAGAAAAACTAGTTAATTCCATTTTTATCATTCAATTAATAAATACTTATTGAGCACTGACTCTGCTTGCTACTGGGCATTGTGGACATGTCGATGACTAAGACATGGATCCTTGCTCTCATGAAGCTCACAGCCTTGTGGTAGAGACAATTAATTACACAGTAATTACAATGTGATTTGTGTTAATGATAAGGGAATTAACTACACAAGGGGATGGGAGCTATAGGCTATGCTAATGAGGCTATGGTTATAGATTCAGTTCCCTTGTAGGGTAACTGACTTGCAGGGCTCTATAGGCTTTTCTCTGTCTGTCCAAAATTGGACTGCTTGGACACCAGCCCTGACTACCCTTCTTTCCTGGCACTGATTATTTGTGTGGTGCCAAATTCTTCAAAAAGCGATAGCATACATGATGAGATGGAGAGATAATTTTACTTGTCTAAAAACTGACTTGAGAATCCCCTTTGGAACAAGGTTCTTTTTTTTTTTTGTTGTTGTAAGAAGTAATTTTATTAGCCTCTTATAAGATTATTCATAAACTGCTTTCTATGAAGGGTTGGTCCTGTTAACATGGATTTCTTTTCACTTCTTAGAGCAATACTGTCCAATAGAAATATCATGTATGCAACATAGGCTATTTTAACTTTTCTGCGAGCTTCATTAAAAAGATGAAATGAAACAGTGAAATTAATTTTAGTAATATATTTCATTTAACTTAATATAGACAAGATATCATTTCAAAATGTAATCAATCTAAAAAATTATTAATGGGGTATCTTAAATTTATTTTATATAAAATCTTAAAAATCTAGTGTATTTTTCACAGTTCCTGCACATTTTAACTTAGACCAGCTACACTTTAAGTACCACATATGACTACTGTCTACCACACTAGATAGATAGTTTTAGAGTACTTAATTCTTGTCAATCATTTAGAGGTTAGGTATAGGGCTAGAATTGTTTAAAAGATTTTTCTTTATTCTATAAAGTAGGTAATTGTTTGCAAGATACTGCTTAAAAACACTGCTCAAATTCTTACTTATGTGCATGTGTGCTATAGCTAATAGTATTAGTGATCTTTGATCAAGTTGTTAGGGAACAATGTAGCAAAACAAATACTGCCTGGAAATCCAGAGATAAGAATTTGAATTAAGGCTCTGCCACCATCAAACTCCATAACTGTGAGAAGTAGCATCTTCCTAAAGATCCCCTTCATACCCTTATTTACCAAGTAGAGTAACGATTCCCTCTCTTGGACCACCATAGTACTTATACCCATTTCTGTTTACTCCTATTAGAGCAGTAATTGTAGTGTTTTGCAGCATTTGTACATTTCTTTCTATGTCCCTCCTTTACTGGACTGAGAGCTCTTAGAAGGCAGTGACCATGTTCTTTTTATCCTCACTGTCTAATATGGTGCTTGTCATAGAGCAGTTGGTGAATATATGCTGAATGAACAGATTTGTGTATGAAGGAGCTGAAATAGTGTTTTTAATGATAATGATTTCTTCTTATAACTTGATATTTAGTGGGCACAGTTCTTTGATATAATTGGTCTGTCATATATTTAGCTGAGAGAATGACTTCTCAACCTATCACTGGATTATGCCAGATTACAAATTCCTGTTATGACTGAGTTTGTCCCAGACATCTGTGTGTTATTCCGTTGGTTTGTGATTTATTAAAATATAGTCATTTGGTCACATTATGAATCTCAACAGTGGAAGAAAGCTTTTCTTTCATGGCTGTTTATGAAACAGACACTTCAATTTGATGGTAATTTAGCCATACTTTTCAAAATACATTTCCGATTATTAATCTCATCAGACCATCGAATATGTTAGTTACTGGTATTGCTAAAATGAGCAATGATGTCATCATTTAAAATTTTTTGAAAACTCCAACCAAGACTTTCATCTGAATGAAATAGTTAAAGGCATGAAAATGTAAAACTAATGATATTTAATATAGAAATGTGATTTCAAAACTTGAACACGAGGATTACTTTATTTCCTCCATGTCTGTGCATATGTGACTGAATCTTGGTCTGGAAATGAACCTTAGAAGAGAATCAGCAATTTGAAGACTGAATTCAACTCTTGGATCATTTCATTTTCTCTTGTGCTTAATTAATAGACAAAGCATCATACTACTGACCAGAGGAAGTGCCCCAGACATGTTTTATTCTGGCATTTGTGTGATTCTTTGTTTAATTCCTTTATATTTTTTTATTTTATTGTCTTATTTAAGTTTTAATTTTATTATGATTATGAAATATATCTGCATGGTTAAAAATTCAAAAGTTTCAAAAACTTATGTAAAGAAAAGTTGATCACACATGCCTGGCTTGTTTATTCACCTAGTTTCCCTCTGCTCAAGCGCTAATGTTACCATTATCTTAATATAGTTCTAGCAATATTTTATTCATAAGAAATATATACATACACACATATTTATTCATTTCTTAAAAACTTAAAATGGTAGTATAACAATTTTCTGCATCTACCTTTTCTCATCTAATGGTATATCTTACAGATTTCTTAGATTTTACAGCTGAAAAAATGAAACTTAGCTAAAATGGGCTCAGTCTTTATAAAACCTACAACTTCTTTTTTGGTTT